TTTTCCTCTCTCGCTCAAACCTACGATCCATCCTCAGACGACGCACCTCCGTCGAATTGCCTCTAATCCTTCATCAAATTCCATGCTTTCGATTCTGAAATTGCTTCTACTCACACGAATACGGTGAAGATAAACGACGAACATGATTTATCGTCGATTTCCAGATCCTAATCGATCAAACTATCATCATCGATCATCAATCTATATGAAATCTGAAATCCCCCAACGATCGAAGTTTCATTGTTGCTGAACTCCTTGATCTCACGTTCTTCATATAAAAAACTCTAGTGAAGATGCTTTGATTTTGAATCGTTTTATCCTTCATCAATTCGTTCCCCAGAGTACACTGTAATCGCCGACTTCATCTCGGCCTCCACTGTGGATTGAAGACCTGAACGAAGAAGATGATCCCTTGTCGATCAAAATTTAGGTATCATCTGTTTCTATTGTTGACTCCTGACCTTTGTTTGACCTTTATGAATTTTTTTGCCTAATCGTTAAGTTCAACCTGTTTAGTCAATATGTTTTTATAAAGAGTTAAATCCTTGTGTTGATTGTAGGTATAAATATAGACACATGTGTTATTGAAAAATATAGATATTTGTTTGCACTCAACATGTTCGATGAAATGCCTCAACGAGAAATATCACATGTTAACTTCACTTTGACTTCATGAATGATAAACCAATTCCAATTTAGGTTTCTGTCCAAGTCAACATCGGAAATGTCGATGAACTCGTTGCCAATAAAGTCATCACACAGGTACTAACTATATCATTCTACCTAAAGTGGCTGAAATTTAAGTTATTGTTTTTTTTATAGTGCTATATGACTGGATAAATCTTCATGATATTCATCAAATATGTTAAATGTTAGTGTCTTGATACATTAATCGTGGTTCTTTTACTTAACTGATTAATACATTGTGTCCAGATTAAGATTAAGTAAAAAAGAAAGTCATAATAGCTATCTGGATTAATTGAGTTAAAAGAAAAGGATCCTAAATCATTGAAACTTAGTAAAAAAGAGATATCCTGTAAATGTTTGAAATAGTTATGGTTGCAGCATATTGAGGTATTGACACCAATGGAGAAACTCAACTACTATGTTGTCCTAAACCATTTGA